GCTCCCCCAGAGTATCTTGGTGAATGTGTTTAAGTAGATGTCACAAGCAACAGCCTCAACATCTGTTTCCCAACTCAGGCTGTTTCAACTCAGTCTATAAAGGGAGGTGTGTGTGTGTGTGTGTGTGTGTGTGTGTGTGTGTGTGTGTGTGTGTGTGTGAACTCAGTCAATAAAGGGAGGTGTGTGTGTGTGTGTGTGTGTGTGTGTCCAGTAGTGGGATTTGAACTTGGGGCCTGGGCTCTGCCCCTTACTGTTTTTTTTTTTCTGGCTCAAGGCTGGTGCTCTACCACTTGAGCCACAGCTCCATTTCAGGCTTTTTGGTGGTTCATTGGAGATAAGAGACTCACAGACTTTCCTGCCTGTGCTGGATTTGAACCCAGATCTTCAGATGTCAGTCTCCTGGTTAGCTAGGATCACAGGCATGAACTACTGGTGCATTCATACCTTGTTTCCTCTTTGGCTTGCCTTTCCCCTCCCCTCCTCATTTTCTCTCTTTCCTTTTATAACTCGGACTCTGCAAAGTGCACAGGTCTGAAAGGCTCCAGCCAGTGAATGATCACCTATTTGTACCCATTGAGCCATTACCGGGGACAAAACATATACTATTCTACATTCTCTCGAAGGTTCTGCTCTGTCCCCAGTCCTTCACTCCTCCGTCACCCTGTTGTTACTTTCATTGCTATTAGACTGTTTGGCCTATTTTCAAACAGAGCTCCTTCAGTGCAGATGAGGAAACTGAGGCTCAGAGAGGCGAAGCCACTCGTCCCAGCCGCCTGCCCACACCCCAGTGGGCTTGCTCATAGGCTGCACTGGCAAGAAGAGCTGCCAGGTCATGGAGAATTCCAGAACCACAGCAAAGCTACCAAAAAAAAAAAAAAAGCATTTATTTTCTTTCCAGCGGGGCTGATTTCTGACAACCGAACCGGCCCAGCCCTAGCCAAGAAAGCCAGTTGAGCGTTTTGGCAAGGCCGGCGCCTGGCTGGACTGGCAGAAGGCCCAGCGGGGCTCGGAACATTTGCTTTGGATGTGGAAAGTGCCGAATTGACCTCATCTGGTGATGGAACCTGATTCATCCCGCAGCCCTGGCCCTCCAGGAAGGAGCCCGGAGCAAGCAGCTAGTCCTGGGGTTACATAACCAAACCCCTGCCCAGAGCTGCTGGGCTGGCTTGACCCATTCTGCCATCCAGCCCCTCCCCCCGCCCCCCTTGGCACTGTGGTCCTCCGGGTGACCCCTCAGCTCCGGGCAGCTGGCCATCTTGTTCTCCTGTGCCCCAGGGTGGGGTGTGAGCTCATCCCAGGCCCCACCTGGGGTTCACCTGGCTGTGCACTGAGGTCACCTGGCAGGCTTGCCAGGGGATGACGTCATCCCGTGACGTGCGCAGCTGCGCCAGGTAGGAAAGGTGAGCAGCTGCAGGAAGAGTGTCACTCTCTGGGCAGGGATAGGCCAGCGGTGGCCAGGATGCGACTCACCCTGTAAGCCCATTACTCATCACATAGAAGTCAGGCTGCGGTGAAGGAGGAGGCTTGTACCTGGCCCTCAGCAAGCCATTGTCCTCAGCCTCACCTCTTGTGACCCTTCTCCCTCCTCAGGGCCTCTCTGTTTGCTCTGTTCTGGGGCATGTAAGACTGTTGAGATTGCAGGTATCCCTCCCAGGTACCCTCTTGGGGTGCCTGGACATCGCTCAGCCAGGTAAAGTATTCAGAAGCTAAGGAGTCGTAAAGTGTCGTAAAGCAGCAAGTTGACTAAAAGCAGACATAGGAGTACAAGTCGGGCACCAGTGGCTCACACCTGTCATTCCAGCTACTCAGGAGGCTGAGATCTGAGGATCACAGTTCAAAGCCAGCCCGGGCAGGAAAGTCCATAGGCTCTTATCTCCAATGAACCAGTAAAAAGCTGGAAGTAGAATTGTGGTTCAAGTGGTAGAGCTCTAGCCTTGAGTGAAAAAGATCAGGGATGGTGCTCAGGTGCTGAGTTCAAGCCCTAGGACCAGCACGCACGCACGCGCGCGCACACACACACACACACAGAGCAGTCCCGAGTGGAGATTTGAGAATGCTCAGCCATTCCCTACTATGTAATCTTAAGAATAAAGATACTCTCAGCTGGGAATGTGGAGTGCTTGCCTAGAAGTCATGAAGCCCTAGGTTTGATTCCTCAGTACCACACACAGAGAAAAAGTTGGAAGTCATTATTTACCATAGCTAAGATATGGAACCAACCCAGATGCCCCTCAGTAGATGAATGGATCAAGCAAATGTGGTATATATACACAATGGAATTCTACGCCTCCATCAGAAAGAATGACATTGCCCCATTTGTTAGGAAATGGAAAGACTTGGAAAAAATTATATGAAGTGAAGTAAGCCAGGCCCAAAGAAACATAGGTCCCATGGTTTCCCTTACTTGGAATAACTAGTATATGTCTGAGACAAGCAGAAAAGGTCAGATGTTAAGTGAAATGAACCCCAAGATAAATATTCAAATGTTTTTGCTTTCATGCAATTGTTTCTAACATTTGTAAGATGATTTTTTTGTTGCTTTGTATGTCCCTCCCCCACGGTATAACCCCTGCTTTCACTGTATTTGATGTTGGTATAATTTGTGGAGGGGAAGGGAAAAAACAAATGGTTTAAATAGGGATACATGTGGACTCATTGCAATAATGAGATGTACAAGACATTAAATCAAAAAGCGAACTTTACAACTTTGGGGGTGGGGTGGGGGGAGGATGGGTAGGGGAAACAAAGGAGGAGACCTCAACAATGCTTGATAAGAAATGTACTCATTATCTTGTCCATGTAATTGTAACCCCTCTGTCCGGTATTTTCACAATAAGAAAAAAAAAGTAGACATTGTAAGATAGAAAAAAATAATGCACAAAAAATTTAGCAAAAGAAAAAGCTGGAAGTGGTGCTGTGGCTCAAGTGGTAGAGTGCTAGCCTTGAGCAAAAGAAGCTCAGGAGTTCAAGCCCCAGGACTGGCAAAAAACGTTTTTGAAAAAAGATACTTTCTTTAAACATAGATCCACTGGTTTGTTCGTTGAACTCAGAGCCTGGGCTCTGTCTCTGAGCTGTTTTTGCTCCAGGCTAGCGTTCTACCACTGTAAGCCACAGTGCCACTTACAGCTTGTTGGTGATTTATTGAAGAGAATTCCTCCATCAGGAAGGCGGGAGGTCAGAGAGAGGGAAAGCATTAGGCAAGTATAAGATCATTTTTGTGTGTGGTGGTGGTCCTGAGACTCGAACTTAGGGCCTTGCACCATTCCTTTACTTTTTGCTCAAAGGTTGATGCTCTACCTCTTGAACCACAGCCCTGAGAGACTCCTTGGATGGTCTGATTCCCTATCTCTGCCTAGGTCTCCCCCCGCCCCTTTTTATGTGTGTGAATTGAGAGCTATAGGAAGGCTGTGTATTGGTCACTTTGCTCTTCAGATCTGACACAGCATTGGCCGATCATAGCAGAGAGTCTTTGCCTCCAAAGCAATTTCTGTCATCTGAGGATTAGGACAAACCCCACATTAATAGCTTGGTGATTCAGGCTAGAGATGTACTAAACACTTTAAGATCCTTCCTGGTGCTTGCTTTTTCTTGTTTCACGCCAGTCCTGGAGTTTGAACTCAGGGCCTGGGTGCTGTCCCTGAGCTCTTTTTTCTCAAGGCTTGCGCTCTACCAACTTGAGCCACAGCGCCACTTCCAGCTTTTTCTGTGTATGTGCATGACTTCCAGCTTTTTGGTGGTTCGCTGGAGATAAGAGTCTCAGGGACTTTCTTGCCTGGACTGGCTTTGAACAGTGATCCTCAGATCTCAGCCTCCTGAGTAGCTAGGATGACAGGCGTGAGCCACCAGCGCCTGGTTCAAACTCATTTTGGTTGTTTTACGCCAGTAACATTGTGCTCACTTGTTACAGCAGCTCCCAGATGCTCATACAGTCGTCTGGTAGTGTTGCCAACCAGAAGCTACCCTAGGTCTTTGACTTCCTGCCTTTTCAGATGGGTGGAGACATGGCAAGATGTGTGTGTCTGTGGCGCTAGGCCCTGAACCCTAGTGGTATTGTCATTCTTCCCCCCGCCCCCCCTTGCTCTGAAGGGTTGGGAGCTATCCCTGAATTACTGGGGCCTGGCTCCATTTCTTATTTTAATATTCAACACGCCCCCCCTCTCCATTAGTAATGAGTGAGGTATTTCTCCTCCCCATCAATGCAGAGTTCTCAGAAAGTGACCCTAGAGCGTATCAGATCCAGGATTTGAACTTGAACCGGTCTGACCTCAAAAGAGATACTTTCCCCTATCTGCTCCTCTCAGGATCGGCTGAGATCCGGGCCTCTCAGGGGCCTGTGCTTGGGGGGCGGGTGTCTGGTGTCCCCAAGATCGGTGCCTCTATCTTCATAAAGGCTTCTGTCTGTCCCCCAGGGTGAACGAGCTGTATGTTGATGACCCAGATAAGAACAGCGGAGGGAAAATTGATGTCAGCCTGAACATCAGTTTACCCAATTTGCACTGCGAATGTGAGTATCACAAACAGCAAGACTCCACGCCTCCCGTGGCAAGCGATCCAAGATGAACTGTGCAGATAACGCCAGCTGCCAACAGTGCTCACCCCATGATGCCCCTTTGCATGCTTGTCTGCTCGCTTTCCATGTTTGTTTTTTCATTCCAAGACTGGGACTCGAACTCAGTACCTGCTTGCTGCTTTCACTCATTGTCTAGTGCTGTACCAACTGAGTCACACTTCCAACCCCTGCTCTCCCCCCCAAGCCCCCCCCCCCCAAGTCCTGGGGCTTGAACTCTGGGCCTCGGCACTGTCCCTGAGCTCTTCAGCTCAAGGCTAATGCTCTACCACTTGAGCCACAGTGCCACTTCCAGCTTTTTCTGTGTCTGTGGTACTGAGGAATAGAACCCAGGGTTTCATGCATGCTAGGCAAGCGCTCCACCACTGAGCCACCTTCCCAGGCCTGTTTTGTGTTTTGTGTTGTGTGTGTGTGTGTGTGTTAATGCTAGTACTGGGGCTTGAACTGTTTGAATCAAGGTTAGTACTCTACCACTTACGCTATACCTCCACTTCGGGCTTTTTAGTGGTTCAATGGAGGTAAGAATATCCCAGACTTCCCTGCCTGGGTAGACTCTAAACCTGTCATCCTCAGATCTCAGCCTCCAGCGTAGCTGGGATTCTAGGCATGAGCCACCTGGCCTGGGCAAAATGAAAACGAGGCCTTGGCTGCCTCAGTTTCCCCATCTGCACAATGGGCTCAGTGGGATCTGGCAGCAGTGATTTCCAGGAGAGTGATGCGATGATCTCCAGGCTTGCTGGTGAATGAGCTGGCGTTCTCTGGAAGGGAAGGGGCTGGTGCTGCCCCCCTCCTCCCCCCCACCCTGCCCCTCCCAGCCCATACCTCTCTTTCCTGTGAAAAAGGCCAGGGCAGGACAAGAACATTGGGTCAGCCTCTAGCCGTGCCGGCCCGTTGTTACTGCTTTGGGTGAGCATGACATCACAGCTTTGCATCTACAGCAGGATTCAAGCCAGAGATGTCGAAATCATGTCAGGTTTATTTAGTTTGAATATTTTTTGAGGTTGTTGTTTTGTTTTTTTTTTTCCCCTCCCTTTTGGAAAAAAAAAATTCCTCTGGCTGCTTCTCCTGCAGGAATCGGCTGTGGCTGTGGCGTAGGGAAAGTCTTAGTCACACCCGACAGACACCCCGGAGTGGGGAAGGGCGGAAATGGTACCACGCTTCATGCTGGCTCCAGGCAGTGACCCACGGTGAACTGCTCTCCCTCAAGACAGCCACCTGCCCATCCATCCTAGAGCCCAGCATCATGGGGCCGCCTCCTCCCCCTCCTCCCCTGCCCTTCTTCCTTCCCCTCCTCCCCTCCCCTTCTTCCTCCCCCTCCTCTTCCTTTTCCCCCCTCCCTCCTCCTTCCTCTCCTCAGGGCCTTGTGTTCCTTTCTTGCTTGGCTTTTTTCACTCAAGGCTGGCACTCTACCACTTGAGCCACGGCTCCACTTTCTGAGGTTTTCTTTTGGTGGTTCAGTGAAGATCTTCACAGAGCTTCCTGTCTGGGCTGGCTTTGAACCAGGATCCTTAGAGCTCAGCCTTCTGAGCAGCTGGTGTTACAGGCGTGAGCCACAGAGCCCGGCTGGAGGCCCCCTGTATTCTTGGGAGGCATACAGACCCTGGGAGCGTCATCTGCAGCATCTGGATGGCCCATGCTCTTCTCCACCGGCTGGGCCCCAATGCCTTGTATGGCGGGTTCTCTTTCCAGTCATTTCCAGCTGTTTGCACTCTGCGTCATACCCTCCTTTCGGCCGCTCCTGCCAGGGAATTCTGTGCATTTCTGTAGTTTACAGGATCCAAGATCTTGCCCTGGCCTGCCTCTTGGGCCATCTGAAGCCCTGCAGCAGGACCGACCTGCCCATTTTACACTGCCATAACAGATGCCCAGAGAGTCAGGACCAGGACCCAAGGCTGTCTTATCCCATGAGGTATGCAGATGGGAACCTAGAGAACGCACAGAGGTCCCCGGAGGAGGCAGCCAGTGGCCGGTCTCTTCAGAGTGTGTCTCCTTCCCTGGCCTTGGGAGAAAGAGGCTTTGGGGAAAGGAAGGTGTGAATGAATGAATGAATGATGAATGAATGAATGATGAAGCTGTCTCCCCCCACCCCCCCCCCCCAGCTTGAGAGTTCAAGATTCACTGTTTATTCTTTTTACTTACTGTTCATCAATCTCTGTTCTAAACATTTTCTAGATCTCTTCGCTACTACATCCATACTCTCTTTCATTTCATCCATACTTTTTTTTCATTTTTATTTTCTTGTTTTTGGCCAGTTCTGGGACTTGAACTCTAAGCTTGGGTGTTGTCCCTTAGCTTTTTTTTCTCAAAGCTGGTCTTCTGTCACTTGAACCACAGCTCCACTTGTGGGTTTTTGGTTTCTCTCTGCTGTGGGGCTTGAACTCGGGGCTGGGCTCCGTCCCTGAGCTCTTTTTGCTCAGAGCTAGTGCTCTGCCACTTTGAGCCACAGCGCCACTTCCAGTTTCCTGGTGGTTAATTGGAGATCAGAGTCTCAGAGATTTTTCTGCCTGGGCTGCCTTTGAACCTCGATTCTCAGATCTCAACCTCCTGATTAGCTAGGATTATAGGCATGAGCTATTAGTGGGCCTGGCTGGGGCTTTGTATTTATTTTTGTTGGTTGTGGGGCTTGAACTCAGGGCCTCTGATGCTGTCCCTGAGCTTTTTTTGGCTCAAGGCTAGTGCTCTACCACTTGAGCCACAACAGCACTATTTCCAGTTTTTGGCAGTTCATTGGCGATAAGAGCCTCATAGATTTTCCTGCCCAAGCTGGCTTCGAACCACGATCCTCAGATCTCAGCCTCCTGAGTGGCTCGGATGACAAGCAGCCAGCTGGCATGTTGCATTTTGATCATTCCCATTTCACAGAGAGCTATACTGAGGTGGGGGGGGTGTTAAGAAGTCCTCTCAGCTGGTTAACTGCAGATCGGGACTCAGATACCCGAGGACCCCCCAGGCCCTGGAACCTCTGCTTTCTCTGTCCGGCCATGGGCAGGGCTTTCCTGGTGAATGGGGATATTTGTGTGTGTGTGTGTGGGGGGGTGTTTGGCTCTCTTCTGCTGGCTGACTTCCTTTCCATCCTATGCTGCTGGGTGTGGGCGTGGCATCTTGGCACGCCAGGGCCGGGCCTCATGCCGCTCCGTTGGCATCCACAGTGGTCGGGTTGGACATCCAGGATGAGATGGGCCGGCACGAGGTGGGCCACATCGACAACTCCATGAAGATCCCGCTGAACAACGGGGCGGGCTGCCGCTTCGAGGGCCAGTTCAGCATCAACAAGGTATGGCGCCCCCCCCCTTCTGCCCTCCCTCCCGCCCGCCCATCCCCAGGTGATGGACCTGTGCCCTTGACCCCTGACTCCCACCCTGGCGGCCAGCAGGGGGCAGAGTCCAGCCCTGGCTCTTCCCCTGAGACTCCGGCTTCTGGGGGTGTCACAGTTGGTGCACCGGGGCTGATCTTCTCCCCATGCTGAGGGGGAGCCTGGGTGCTAAGCTCCTCTCTTGCTGGCCCAGGAATGTGTCCCAAGTCCCTTGAGCCAAGGCTTCCCTTCTTTGATGTGGAGTGGGGATTCAGTGAGCTACTACACACTCATTCATTCATTCATTCATCTGAGATTCTCACATTCAGAGGGGTGCTAGTTGCAGGGTGGTCAGCAGATGGTACAGCTTTGTATTTTCTTTTTGTCGGCCGTGGGGCTTGAACTCTGGGCCTGGGCGCTGTCCCTCAGCTCTTCAGCTCAAGGCGAGCGCTCTACCACTTGAGCTACAGCGCCACTTCCGGTTTTCTGGTGGTTTATTGGAGATAGGAGTCTCACGGTCTCTCCTGCCCGGGCTGGCTTTGAACCGCGATCCTCAGATCTCAGCCTCCTGAGTAGCTAGGATGACAGGCGTGAGCCACCAGCGCCCGGCAGCTTTGTATTTTCACTCATTCATTCATTCCTTTTTGTGTCGCTCCTGAGGCGACACTCAAGACCTCACACTCTTCCCTGAGCTTTCTCGATCAAAGCTAGCGCTCTACCACTTGAGCCACACCTCCACTTCCACCTTCTCTGCTGGCTCATTGGAGAGAATGAGTCTCACGGAGATTTCTACCCTGGCTGGCTTTGAACCAGGATCCTCAGACCTCAGCCTCCTGAGTTTCTTTGGAGGATAGGCGTGCGCCACTGGCACCCACCCGCAGAGCTCTGTTGATGGGTGGTGGCAGTGTGCATGCTGAGGGCATTTCAGAGGGGTGAGTTGCTGTAGTGGGGGGGGCAAAGCAGGGGAGGTGCGAGGAGGGGGGACATCAGCTCCAAAGGACCCCATCTGTTATTGGCTGATTTTCCCGCCAGGGGTGGGCATGAATGGCCAGGGCACTGGGGCTGGGCCCTGAGCAGCACGTGCCTGCATTCTGCTCAGCTCTGGACACATGAAGCTTCCCACTGGAAGCTGGGGCCCAGAGAGGTTAAGTACCTCCCCCAAGGTCACACAGCCCCGACATCCTGTGTCTCCACTTCCTAGTCCCAGGATCACTGGTCATTCATGGCTCCTCCCCTCCTTCCCCCAGCCCTTGACACGTGAGCAGAAATAACCAATCCCCTGGCCAAGTCTACCTTAGAGACAGGTGGTGCGTGTGCACGTACAATCTAAACACATCGGACCTAAAGTTAAACCATCACAAGTCCCACTTGGAGCCGGTGGCATTTGCCTATAAGCCCAGCTGCAAGAGGGGCTGGGAAGGTGGCTCAGTGGTAGAGTGCTTGCCTGGCATGCATGAGGCCCTGGGTTCGATTCCTCAACACCACATAAGCAGAAAAAGCTGGAAGTGGCGCTGTGGCTCAAGTGGTAGAGTGCTAAGTCTTGAGCAAAAGAAGCTCAGGGACAGTGCCCGGCCCTGAGTTCAAGCCCCACCACCACCAACAAAACAAGAGGCTGAAAACTGAGGATCAAGGTTTGAAGCCAGCCCAGGCAGAAAAGTCCATGAGACTCTTATCTCTAAATGACCAGCAGGGGGCTGGGAAGGTGGCTCAGTGGTAGAGCGCTTGCCTTGCATGCCTGAGGCCCTGGGTTCGATTCCTCAGCACCACATAAGCAAAAATGAAAAAAGCCAGAAGTGGCACTGTGGCTCAAATGGTAGAGCGTTAGCCTTGAGCTGAAGAGCTGAGGGACAGCGCCCAGGCCGAGTTCAACCCCATGACTGGACCAAAATAAATAAATGACCAGCAAAAGGCTAGAAGTGGGGTTGTGGCTCAAGTGGTAGAACGCCAGGCCCTGAGTTCAAGCCCCAGGGTTGGAATAGAAAATAAAGGGAGGAAGGAAGGAAAGAAAGAAAGGCAGAGAAGGGAAAGGAAAAGAAAGGCATTCTGGGTAACTGGTGGGGACTGGAGTGATGGAGGGAGCGTCGGCAGGGCCTGGCCACGAGTTGGATGTGGCGGATGAGCACAGCCGTTAACTGGGGGAAGCCATTTTTGCGGTGACATCCGGGTGTCTTCACGTTGTGGGGAAGCAGGTGGCAGCCATCAGATGGTTGTCCTGGGGTTCATTGAGGGTTCTCATTAGGGGTGTTAAGTAGAAGATAGAGGCGATTTTGTGGAGCTGCGGGCGTCCATGTGGGCGCCAGTGGAGGAGCGGGGAGGGCAGGAGACATGAGGGGGAGGGCCTCAGGGCCCCCACTTCCGCCCCCACTTCCGGCCTCCTGAGCCCTAGTAGAACAAGGCCTCCCAGAGTTTCTGATCCACTGGAGAAGCAGCGGTGTTCAGCGAGCTGACAGAGGCTGGGAGCTTCATCGCAGTCCTGGGGTCCCCCGCCACCCCCAAACAACGTGAGGCTGATTGACAGACACCCCCTGAACTCCTTCAGGGATCCGGGAACTTGGACAAGGGGCAAGAATTATGTCTGTCTGTCTGTCTGTCTGTCTTTCTCTCTCTCTTTTCTTTCTAAGCTCAAAGTCTGCTTTGCATTTCCTTCTGCAGTAGACATTGAGCAGGAATAGTGTAAGCCGAGGTTTTTTTTCCATCAGGAGAAATTGCTGGATTTATATATTATTCAAAAGGTTGCAAAACACTTGCAAAGACATTGTACGCTCATCCTTCCTGTGTAAGCGCAGCAAAGCATTTCACCTCCCCTAGGCTTTATTATTTGATGCATTGCTAAAGAATCGTGTTCAGGTGTGTGTGTGTGTGTGTGTGTGTGTGTGTGTGTGTGTGTGTGTAGCCTTGGGCTTGAACTCAGGCTTTATTATTTGATGCATTGCTAAAGAATCGTGTTCAGGTGTGTGTGTGTGTGTGTGTGTGTGTGTGTGTGTGTGTGTGTGTGTGGCCTGGGGCTTGAACTCAGGGCCTGGGCACTGTCCCTAACCTTTTCTGCTCAAGGCTAATGTGAACCACTCTACTTCCAGCTTTTTGGTAGTTCATTGGAGATTAGAGTCTCACAGACTTTCCTGCTTGGGCTGGCTTTGAACAATGATCGTCAGAACTCAGCCTCCTGAGTAGCTACGATTACAGGCAGGAGCCACAGGTGCTCAACCCTGCATCTGATTCTCTTTTTTTTTTTTTTTTCTTTTTCTGTGCTGGGGCTTGAACTCGGGGTCTGTGCGGTGTCTCTGAGCTTTTGTGCTCAAGGCTAGTGCTTTACCTACCACTTGAGCCACAACTCCACTTCTGGCTTTTTTGATGATCTATCCCTTCGAGCCACAACACCATTTCTGGCTCTTTGGTGGCTCATTGGAGATAAGAGTCTCACAAGACTTTCCTGCCTGGGCTGGCTTTGAACTGTGATTCTCAATCTCAGCCTCCTGAGTAGCAGTGCAGCAGAGTGGCAGAGGTGGCATCTACTTCTTTTTGTTTTTTTTTGCCAGTTCTGGGGCTTGACCTCAGAGCCTGGACACTGTCCTTGAGCTTCTTTTGCTCATCTAGCCCTCTACCCCTTGAGCCACAGCGCCACTTCAGGCTTTCTCTGTGTATGCGGTACTGAAGAATCGAACCCAGGGCCTCATGCATGCTAGGCAAGCACTCTACCACTGAGCCACCTTCCCAGCCGTGCATCTACTTCTTTTAAACATGGTTTTCAAGTGTCATTGAACCACTGTGGCCCCAGACACCTTCTGTCCACACCCACTCTCCCTCCTTCTTTGGGGGTGAAGGGGAGCCGTGCGGACTCCAGTCACGATGGCTGCTGACAGCCCGGATGGCCATCACCCCCATCAGCCCACAGCCACATGGGCGTTCTCGCCTCCGGCTGTATCCAGCGGGGAGGAGACCTCACCCTCCGGGGATGGGGTGCGGGGTGTGGGGGGAGCTGGCCCCAGCAGTGTGTTTCTTAAATCCATCAGAGGCACTGACGTAGATGCCTACGTCACAGGCTCTAAAAGCGTCGTCCTTTTTTTTTTCCTTTCTTCTGCACACAGTATGTGCCGACATGACTCAGCCACCTGCACGGACTCTTCTGGCCCAGGGAACGAGGGAGGGAGGCAGGCAGCCAGCCAATGAGCATGCATGCGGATGAGTCCTGGCCCCTGGGGGCGGGGCTTGGGGGCAGGTGCTCAAGACAGATCTTGCTCTTCCTTTACTTTCCTTTTTGTCAGTCATGGGGTTTGAACTCCGGGCCTGGGCGCTGCCCCTCAGCTCTTCAGCTCAAGGTGAGCGCTCTACCCCTTGAGCCACAGCACCACTTCCAGTTTTCTGGTGGTTTATTGGAGATCAGAGTCTCACGGACTTTCCTGCCCAGGCTGGCTTTGAACTGCGATCCTCAGATCTCAGCCTCCTGAGTAGCTAGAATGACAGGCGTGAGCCACCAGCGCCTGGCTTCATTCACTTTTATCGTGGATGGAAGCAGGTGGCCGGGGTCCCCAACCCAAGTCCCACCCATGCCTGATCACTGCATAGGAAAATTCTAAAATTCTGACAAGGTAAGGACCACATGGATGGCCTTGGGATTTTTGTTGTTGTTTGGTTTTGTTTGTTTGTTTTGTTCAGGTGCTGGAGGGTTGAACTACTTTTGCTGAAGGCTAGTGCTCTACCACTTTTTCAGTGATTGTTGGTAAGAGTCTCACGCAGACATTTCTTGCCCAGCCTGGCTTCGAACCTTGATCCTCAGGTCTCAGCAGCCTCCAGAGTAGCTAGCATGAGCTACAAGTATAAACTCTTGTGAATAGTTTTTTTTTTTCTTTTTGCCAGTCCTGAGGCTTGAACTCAGAGCCTGGACGCTGTCCCCGAGCTTCTTTTGCTCAAAGCTAGCACTCTACCACTTGAGCCACAGCGCCACTTCCGGCTTTTTCTGTGTGTGTGGTGCTGAGGAATCGAACCCGGAGTCTCATGCATACAAGGCGAGCGCTCTACCACTGAGCCACCTTCCCAGCCATGTAGTTAGTTCTGAAGACATGCTGTTCCTTCTTACTCAGGTACCTTTCCCAGCCTTCCTAGTGCAGATCCCAGACTAGGGCAGATCCCCCGGTCTCTCAGTCCTCAGTCTGTGTCACACATGGGGTCCTTAACCAGGGTTAAGGCTCATGTCTGTGTTCTTTCTCTAAACCTGGCACCATGTCTGGTATTAAGGGCTAAAAGATGACAGGTCTTGCTCCTTCCTCCCTTAACGGGGCACCTGCTATGACTCGGGGTGGCTAGAGAACGTATCTGGGGACACAGCAGACAAAACCCCCCGGCCTGCAGTTTCCTTTCTAGCAGCAGGAAGCCGAGGAAACTCCTGAGCGGAAATGGGTGGGCCGTGCCCAGCAGCTGGCGGGTTGGGGGGATGACAGCCAATTGCTTTTTCTGTTGCTGCTTGGTTTGAGACCGATGTTGAGGTTAGGGCTCTGGGAGGACAGGCAAACGCAGCTGTAAGGGGGAAGGCTGGAAAGCCGTGGGGGGCGGGGGTTCAGGAGGCCGGGACAGGCACGGAGGGCCCACTGAGGCAGGCCTCTTGTTCTGCAGGGGGCATTTTGCGCCAGCTCTAGTTGGGAGGAGAGAGCGGGAGGGGCGGGGCAGGGAGGGCGGGGCCAGTGGCTTCATTTTCTCCCTTGCTGTAATGAAATACTCGAGGCGGGACACCGCAGGAAGACAGGAGGCTTCCTTAGCTCAGGTGGCATCGCGTGGCTGGAAGTCCTCCTAACACAACTGACCACGGGAATCCCTCCCGAGGGCAGCATGGGGAGTGGGGGCCCCCCCTCGGGGGAGGCCCCAGCCCAGCGTGGGAACTGGGGGGCAGACCCTAATCCACACGGGGGTCCAGGCCTTGGGGGGGGTCGGCGCTGAGCTGCGGCCAGGTTGGGGATGGGGGTGAAACCATGGCTGCTGCCCTGGGCTGGGACAGGAAAAAGTGAGTTAGGGGTTCACACGGGCCCCCGAGATCCTGCACCCCAGGATGGGGATGGAAGCGGGGGAGGCGCCTGTGCTACCCATGGGGCTTCTGGGATGGAGAAGGGGGGGGGAGGAAGGGGAAGAGGACAGGAAGGAGGAAGAGGGAGGGGGAGAGGGGGAGAAGAAAAGGAGGGGGGAGTAGGAAGAGAGAAGGAGGGGAAGGGGAGGAAGAGGAGAGAAGAAGGGAAGGGAAGGAGGGGGGAAAGGAAAGGAGGGGGAGGAGGGAGAGGGTCTTTCTCTCTCTCTCTCTCTCTCTGACCCCGGTGTCTGCTGCGTGCCTGGATCACGCAGTACCTGCAGTCCATCCCCTTCCTAACAACACCCACCTTCCTTTCCCAGGTCCCCGGCAACTTCCACGTGTCCACACACAGCGCCACCGCCCAGCCGCAGAACCCAGACATGACCCACGCCATCCACAAGCTCTCCTTTGGGGACACGCTGCAGGTGAGGGGGGGGCCTGGGGAGGGCCGCCCGGCGGAGGCTCTGCTTCATCACCCGAATCCATCTTGGGGGCCGGGTGTTTATGGCTCCAGAGCCAAACCTCTGCCTTCCACGGCTCCTCCGTGGCTCTGAGCGCCTGCCAGAGTCTAGGCGGTTGTTAATATATGGAAGGTTATGTAGCTCACAGTGCGCCACTTCTGGCTTTTCTGCTGGGTGATTGGAGATAAGAGTCTCTCGAACTTTCCCTTCCAGGCTGGCTTTGAGACTCCTTGGGTTGGAGGCCAGGAGAATGAATCCCAGGCAGCCTCCTAAGGGGATTTTGTGTGACAAACCAGGTGATACCAGGAGCCGTGGCTCAACCCTGTAATCCCGGCTACTCAGGAGGCTGAGATCTGCAGTTCAGGAAAGTCCACGAGACTCTTTACCTCCGGTGAACCACCAGACAACCGGAAGTGGAGCAGTAGCTCGAGCAGTAGAGTATTAGCCTGGAGTGAAAAGGCTCAGGGACAGCACCCAAGCCAGCAGGCCGGGTCCTGCCCACTGCCTGCCTCACCTGTGCCGGCTCCGGAGCTGCACATTTTCCCCTTCTTTATTTATTTATTTTGCTGTTGGTGGTGGGGCTTGAACTCGGGGCCTGGGCACTGTCTCTGAGCTTTCTCACTCAAGGCCAGCGCTCTACCATTTTGAGCCACAGCGCTTTCTGGTTCCCTGGTGGCTCATGGGAGATGAGAGTCTCACTGAGCTGGCCTTGAACCGCGATCCTCAGTTCTCAGCCTCCTGAATAGCTAGGGTGACAGGCGTGAGCCCCAGGCTCTCCGCTTTTCTGTGCAGCTTTTCTATGAGCTAAACCCCTCTGGACCCCTGTGTCACCCTTGAGGAAGGGATCCCCAGGGTGGGGGGCACCTGGCCAGTCCCTCACAGCAGGGCCTGGCCTGGAGGTACCACCCCCCCCCATTCCCTCCCTCACCGTTCCTCTCCACAGGTGCAGAATGTCCATGGTGCGTTCAATGCTCTCGGGGGTGCAGACAGACTCAGCTCTAACCGTAAGTACCCCAGCCCCAGGCGGTGTTTTCCCCCTGGAATCTGCCCAGAGGAGGCACAGGGGGAGGGGAGGAGAATGTACTTAATCCCTGCCATATGGGAGGAAGAAAGTGGTCTGGGCATTATATCAGAGCTTCATAGAAGGCAGCTACTTGGGCTGGGAAGGTGGCTCAGTGGTACAGTGCTGGTCTAGCATGCATGAAGCCCTGGGTTCGATTCCTCAGAACCACACACACAGAAAAAGCCAGAAGTGGCGCTGTGGCTCAAGTGGTAGAGCGCTCGCCTTGAGCTGAAGAGCTCAGGGACAGCGCCCAGGCCCAGAGTTCAATTCCCATGACCGACAAAAAAAAAAGTAAAAGGCAGCCTCTGTGTGTGTGTGTGTGTGTGTTGTGTGTGTGTGTGCACGTGCACGCACTCATGCACTTGTGCCAGTCCTGGGGCTTGAACTCAGGTTCTAGGCACTGTCCCTGAGCTCTGTGCTCAAGGCTAGCACTCAACCAATGGAATCCCACTTCTGGCTTTCTGGGGGTGATTCACTGGAGATAAGAGTCTCACACACTCTTCTGTCTGGGCTGGCTTCCAATTGTGATCCTCAGATCTCAGCCTCCTGCGTAGCTAGGATGACAGACAGGCGTGAGCCACCAGTACCCGGCCTGTACAGATTCTAATAAACATAGTGTAGAAGTGTGATTTGGGTAAGACATTCATTCTTTCATTATGTCAAGGGGAGTCTTTGGACTCCTGATTTAAAATAAGGGTGCTGAGCCCCACCCGGACCCCTGAGCAAGAGACCCTTGAGGAATGAGGTCTGGGGTCTATGTTTTCGGTCTATGGTATTGAACAAGGTGTGTTGAAGTCTTCCCCAGGCTTTTTAGCCCTGAGGCTCCAGGTTTTTCCCAGATTTATCCAACCGGATTCTAGAAATATTTTTCCTCTCCTTAGGAGACTCAGCAAGAGCCACAAAGAGGCAGGGAGGGATTGTGCTGGAGCCTGGAATGTTCTCTGTCCCCACCCCTCTGACAGATGAGTGTTTGAGGAAAGATTCAAGGAGAGCAGGATTTAAACCCGCAGGCCGGCATTTTCCATGTTGCTTTCGCTCTGTGGTTTCCCTGGAAGATTCTAGAAAGGCATGGTAGAAGGTTCCTCCGCTTTTCTCAGCATCCCTCAAGGCCCACGGGAGAGTTCGGGCTTTTTCCCCCGCTGAGATCCGGCAGCGCTGGGCCGATCTTCGGTCAATCAGCCTGGTGTTCAATTCCCGTTACTTCACACTTATCAGAGGCTGATTCATGGATTCCTGGCCCATTCATGGCTTTGTCCAGTCATTGTTCCGTGCGTTCATTCATTCATAAGCATTTGCGACGGTCCACGCCGTACCAGGCCCCGTGCAGGGCTTTGTGGACAGGGCGCTGAGTAAGGCCCAGTTCCTGCGTCCTCCCCCATTCATTCTGGAAGGGAGATGAGCTGCTTCAGGATGGAGGGGGAAGTGTGGGTCACTCTTTGCCAAAGGGGAGAGCAAATCGATCACAGATGATGCAGTTCTTCCCACTGATGAGCTCCCTTTTAACACTGAAAGCCTCAGGGCGCCTGTAGCTCACACCTATTATCCTAGCTATACTGGAGGCTTGGGACATGAGGATTGAGGTTCAAAGCCAGCCTAGGGGAGGAAAGTTTGTGAGACTATCTCCAATGAACCAGAAAAACACACACACCCCCCCACCCCGAAATTGGAAATGTAGCTCAAGTGGTAAAAAAAAAAAAAACTAGCCTTGAATGAAAAAACTAAGGGAGACGGTGTTTAAGCCCCATACAATAGAACTGATAGCCAGTTTGTCTTAAAAGTAATGGCTACTTTCTGGGCACTGGTGGCTCACACCTGCCATCCTAGTTACTCCAGAGACGGAGATCTTAGGGTAGGAAAGTCTCTTGAGACCCTTTTATCTTGACTAAACATGGAAAAGAAGCCAGAAGTGGTGCTGTGGCTCAAGTGGTTGAGTGCTAACCTTGAGCAAAAGAAGTTCAGAGGTTGGGCTGGGAATGTGGCCTAGTGGTAAAGTGCTTTCCTTGCATGCATGAAGCCCTGGGTTCGATTCCTCAGTACCACATACACAGGAAAAAGCCAGAAGTGGCGCTGTGGCTCAAGGGGTAGAGTGCTAGCCTTGAGCAAAAGCAGCTCAGGGACAGTGCCCAGGCCCTGAGTTCAAACCCCAGGACTGGTGCACACAGACACACAGACACAGACACACACACAGACACACACACACACACTAATGCTACTCAATCCTCAGAATGAAATGGGATCTTTCTCAAATGCCTTTCTTGCCAGAAGTTGAGGCTCAGCTTTTCCTAGATCTTTCATAATTCCACCTATCCACACATATTAGCAAGTGCCTTTCTCCTACCCTTTTTCAGTAACTTAGGTTGTTTGATTTTGGAGTAGTTCATTGGCATTAAGAGTCTCACAGGGACTTTCCTGCCCAGGCTGGCTTTGAACCACGAGCCTCAGATCTCAGCCTCCTGAGTAACTAGGATTGACAGGCGTGAGCCACCGGCGCCCGGCTGTGGTTTTTTATTTTTTGCCTTTTTCTTTTCCTTTTCTTTTTCTCCCCTCACACTCACGGTTTTGCCTTGGTGATAGACATTTGGGTTATTTCCAGAGTTGTAATAATTCTGTACATGCGGGAGGAAATGCTCTGTCACTGGCGGGGAGAAGTTGAAGATGGATCGTCTTGGCTGGTGAAAATGGGAGCAGGCGCCCCCGTGCCGTGCCTGTGGGCGGGGCCAGGCCCATCTTCTCCCGCCTCTTCCTGTGCCCTTTCCACAGCTCTGGCCTCCCACGACTACATCCTGAAGATCGTGCCCACCGTGTATGAAGACAAGAGTGGCAAGCAGCGGTACTCCTACCAGTATACGGTGGCCAACAAGGTGGGTGCGCCAGGCCTGGGCTGTGCAGCTGCGCCCCCTGCTGGCAGAGGACAGAGGACAAGAGCAGTTTCTGTCAGGCCTTGAGAAAATGAAAAATCTGATCCTTGCTGTTAGGATAGCAACAGAATCCAGGGGAGAAAACTCTAACCAGGAGTTGAGGGTGTGAGCTGTGTAAGCAAAAGCAGCCAAGAGCCAGAAGCCATGCATTTGAGAAAGGTCCCATTTCATTCTGAGGATAGTTTGAGTAGCATTAGTTTGTGTGTGTGTGTGTGTGTGTGTGTGTGTGTGTGTGTGTATACGCCAGTCCTGGGGCTTGAACTCAGGGCCTGGGCATTGTCCCTGAGCTTCTTTTGCTCAAGGCTAGCACTCTACCCCTTGAGCCACAATACCACTAATGGCCTTTTCTGTGTCTGTGGTACTGAGGAATCGAACCCGGGGCTTCATGCATGCTTGGCAAGCATTCTACCACTAAGCCACCTTCCCAGCCTAAGCCCTGGGCTTCTTTTGCTCAAGGTTAGCACTCTACCACTAAATTACTCAGGTGGCTGAGATCTGAGAATTGAAGTTCAAATTCAGTCTGGGCAGGAAAGTCTGTGAGGCTCCTGTCCAGTGAACCACCAAGAAGCAGGAAGTAGAGCTGTGGCTCAACTAGCAGAGCACCAATCTTGAGCAAAACAAGCCCAGGGAGAGTGCGAGATTCTGAGTTCAAGGCCCAGTGGCTCACGCCTGTCATCTTAGCTACTCAGGAGGCTGAGATCTGAGAATCACGGTTCAAAACCAGCCTGGGCAGGAAAGTCCATGAGATTCGTATCTCCAGTGAATCACCAGAAAACCAGAAGTGGCGCTGTGGCTCAAAGTGGTAGGGTGCTAGCCTTGAGCACAAAGAAGCTCAGGGACACTGCCCAGGCCCAGAGGTCAAGCCCTGCAAACAACAACAGCAGTAAAAGGAAAAAAAAAAAAAAAGAGCTACTACTGGCACAAAAAATGACTGAATAAATGAATGAGCGAATAAATAAGATGGTTGTCCACTGAGACAATGCTTTAAAAAAAAATGCTGAGCCCAGAAAGGAAGGTAGGGTGACACTTAATATTACTGCTATTAATTCATGCTTTCTCGCTGTCCTTAGTCACCCTACCCCTCAGCTCTCCTAGAGAAAGCTAAGCTGAGCATTCTTCCCCCAAGGCCCCAGAGAGCCCGGACAGGCCCCAGTCTGCCCTGTAAGCAAAAAGCAGCGATCAGATCTCAGCATTATCCCTGAGAGCAACCTGAGCTGGCCCAGGCCCAGCGTTTGGGGCTGGGGTACCCCAGTGTGGGTCTCCCCTTATTGGAGAAAAGTGACAGTAGACTAGAGGGAGTTCTCAGAAGTTCTCAGACTGGACAAGGGCTACTGGTCATCATTTCTGACCCGTGAGGACAGAGACTGACGCATTGACACACTGTTCATTCAGCCCCTCAACTCATTCCCACGTGGCTTTTGTGCTCATCCCTGGCATGCATGCATGCATGCATGCGCGAGTGCGGGCACACATGCAAATACGTAGCCAGCACTCATATGCATGTGCAGAGACAAAGCATGCACGCATGCGCACACAGCCGCACGGGCAGGACTCTTGGTCCTGTGAAGCTCAGAATGTCCCTTCCGCATTGGCCATTCATGGCCCCGGTCTGCACCCCGTGTCCCTCTGTCAAAATGCATCCTGTCGCAGCGTTAGGGACAGTGATATGCTTGCCTTTAATGGGGAAGCCATCACCCCCAGAAAGCCAGCAGTCAGACCCAGGAGGCGCTGACAGAATGGGCATTGTGCAGCCCACGAGTTATTGGGGGGGGTACCTCTACTATCAGATGCAGCCTGAGATTCTGACACTGCTTCCGGGTTACGGGGTAAACTTGCCCATAGCAGAATGGGCCCAAGATGTCTCCAGTGTGTTACCCAAAGAGCTGCTGGTGGCAGAATCCGAAGGGGGTGGGGTGAGGGGGAAGGCCCCCTCCTCCCTGGGCAATCTGGGCCCCCCTACTTTCCAGAAGGCCCGGGTTTCTGGCTCTCATGTCCCCCCTCCTTTCCTCTGTTCCAGGAGTATGTCGCCTATAGCCACACTGGCCGTATCATCCCGGCGATCTGGTTCCGCTATGACCTCAGCCCCATCACGGTCAAGTACACGGAGAGAAGACAGCCCGTGTACAGGTTCATCACCACGGTCAGTGCCCGGCCCCGCCTGGCCTTGTTAACCCCCAGCCTGCGCCGCCGGGCCCCAGGGATGCTGGGAAATAGGACAAGAAAGACATCAGTGTCCAGGGTGTTTCTCGCGCAGCTTATTTTCCAGGTTGAAGCACATCTTGGCATTCTCCAGTTACTTTATTACGTGTGTGTGTCCAGTATTTGGGGCTTAAACTCCGGATCTGTCACTCTCACTTGGCTTTTTCATTCAAGGCTGGCGCTCTACCACTTGAGCCACATCTCCTTTTCCGGCTTCTTTTCTGGTTAATTAGAAAGAAGAGTCTCACAGCCTTTTCTGTCTCCTGAGTAGCTAGGATGACAGGTGCAAGCCACCCAGTAGCTTTAAAAAATATGTGGAAATTATTCTTAGCAAGATATATTCTTTTCTGTGTTTCTTTGGCAGTAAACAATTGTCAGATTTTTTTTTTTTTTTCTGTCTTTCTCTCTCTGTGGCTGCTGTGTATACCTTGTCTGGTTTTCTCTGGGGCAGCTTTAAGAACCTGTCAGTTTTCTGTTTTTCTTTTCTTTTTTTGTTGATCCTGGGGCTTGAACTCTGGGCCTGGGCACCTGAGCTCATCAGCTCAAGGCGAGCGCTCTACCACTTGAGCCACAGCACCACTTCTGGGTTTCTGGTGGTTCATTGGACATAAGATTCTCTCAGACTTTCCTATTTGGGCTGGCTTTGAAGTGCGATCCTCAGATCTCTACCTCCTGAGTAGCTAGGATTACAGGCGTGAGCCACCAGCGCCTAGCTTGGATTCATACTGTTGGTGGTGGTGGTGGTGGTGGTGGTCTTGGGGCTTGAACTTGGGGCCTGGGTGCTGTCCCTGAGCTCTTTTTGCTCAAGGTTAGCACTCTATTACATGGAGCCACAGCACCAGTTCTGGTTTTCTTTGTGGTCCATTGGAGATAAGAGTCTCACAGACTCTCCTGCCCAGGCTGGCTTTGAACCTCCATCCTTAGGTCTCAGCCTCCTGAGTAGCTAGGATTACAAGCATGTGAGCTACCAGTTCTCAGCTCTGGTTTGGAGAGTGGAGGCCTAGGGCATATATGCCAATGGAGCCAGACCACCAAGACAAAGAACGTGAGCGAAAGGGACTCATTAAGAGAAAAATCAAGTTGGGGGTGATACCTCATGCCTAGAATCCTAGCTACGTAGGCCAGGAGTTATTCCACAGACCCCTAAAGCCAAGGGTTTATGAGCAAATGATTTTCCCCAAGATCCCCCAGGCCAGCCCATCCCGGGGGGTTCTGGGAGCTGATTCCCTGTCATTCTCTTTGTGTGGCTGACCTACAAATAGCTGCACCAGTGCTTCTGGCCAGGCAGGTGCGGCCTGAGCCATCTCGGGGACAGAACCTCCCCGGCCCAGGCCTCCCCGTGGGGTGAGGGTCCCTCCCTCTCCCACGTCCTGTCCCCTTGGCTCCCGTGTGGAACGCATCCTAAGCCCCGGAGCGTCGGGGTTCACTTGGCAGATGGTGGAGGAATGAAGCCACGTCACGTACCCAACGGTTGATGCTTTGTAGAAATTCCCATTCTAGAAACTTCCATGGGCCAAACCCTATACTTGGGCAAGATTCGAAAAAGGAGCACCAAAGGACTGCCATGCTCTATAGTAGGGGTGGGGGGGTCCAAAAAGAGCCCCCCCCACCTAAGTCCTTGTCTGGGAAGCTCCCCCAAAAGAAGGTGGTGAGGCCAGAGAAGAGGGGGAGTCCCAGACCCCCTGAAAGGGACTGGGATGTCCACAATGGAGGCCCTCCAGCCTCCTTCCATAGAGGCTGGCCTCCCTAACCAGCCAAGGTCAGCCATTGACCTTGGAGGAGCTGGAGATTTCCCCAAAGCCACCCGGGAGGACCCCCCTCTCCCACCCAGGGACCAAACACCCCATGACTCCTTTAGCTTCTCCCCCCCCTTTTTTTTTTTTTTGGTCCCCAAACCAGTCCCACCATCTCCACCCCATCCAGCGTGGGCCCACCATCATTATCGGCTAGATTTCCTGAACCACCGGCCCCCCCCTTTTGTTGCTATGGCAACGGGGGGGGAGAGGCAGGGGGGGGGGTCAGGTGCAGAGACAGCCGGCTGCCCCGACAGATGGCGTCATTGTGAAGTTACAAAGCCCCTTGTCACACAAGGACAGCAGATGTCGAGATGACACTGGCACCAAGACACGCACGTGTGTGCATGCGTGCATGTGCGTGTGTGTGTGTGTGTGTGTGTGTGTGTGGGTGTGGGTGGCCAGGGCACGGAGGGAGAGCGGGGCTGGGCCTTGACCACAGGAACCTGCAGCTGGCTCCCCCCCCCTTTTCTCTCTGAGTGGGGGGTCCTCTACAAATAGCCTTGGGGGGGGCTGATGAAGAGGGGGCTTAAGCCGGGTGTGGTCCTGTGGCACCCGAGCGGCTGGGAATGTGGCTGTGGGTGGGCTGGGGACAGACCTGTCAGCTGTGGGGGGGGGGCTGGGGACAGACCTGTCAGGTGTGGGGCTCTGCACAGAGTACGTCCTAAGTATGGGGGACCCCTCCAGGGCACCCCTCCTGAAGGATTCCGGGGTGTGCAACCTGAGCAGATGCCTCCCCCCTTCCCCCCCAAAACCTGCAAGCAGCGTAACGGTCCCCTCTGCGTACCCAGCATGCCTTGCGCCTGTGCAGACTTTATACTTTACGCTCCGCCAGGAAATTGCTCCTCCAAAGAAATCAGGAGATTATAAGTGACAACAGGCAAGTGCCAGCCGCTCTTGCTCTCTCTCTCTCTCTCACACACACATGCACACCCCCCGCACATTTGTCCCCAGCCACTTGATCGCAACTCCTGTTTTGAGATCTCCCTCAAGTGGGTGGTGGTGACAGATTGGCCGGCTTCACACGTGTGGCGTCTTTCTCGGCTTGCGTGATGGGTTTTATTCTGGGGGAAGTGGCCAGGGGCCAAAATTGGGGTGGTTGCCCACCAAAAGTACAGCAAATCGAGTGATAGGATTCTCCCATTGAAAGCGGCCCAAAAGCTAGTGGGTGTTTTTTTGTTGCTGGTGTTTCCCACCAGTACTAGGGCTCGAACTCAGGACCTGGGTACCAGCCCTGAGCGTTTTCATTCAACACTAACACTTGATCACTTGAACCACAGTTCCACGTCTGGCTTTTTGCTGGTTCATTGGAGATAAGAGTCTCATGGACTCTTATCCTGGGTTGGCTTTGAACTGTGATCCTCAAATCTCAGCCTCCTGAGTAGCTGCCACCGGTTCTTCCTTGATAAACTCTGAGGAGGAGATCCCTTGTTTCAGGAGATAGCCTGCCATGTTCACCTCTGCCTCACAGAAGTGAGGAAGCGGATATTGTAACTGGCAGGGCTCCTCACACAAGGAGAGGCAGGAAGGGGAGGGTTCAGGCCGTGATGGGAAGGGCAGACGCTGAATTGCAAAAGCAGACCCGCCACTGACTCTCAGGCCTGGATTTGAAAACCCCTGTATCCTTGGTAGCCATGTTACCTTGGACAAGCCAATTCCTCCCTCAGTCTGGCTCCTGATCACAAGGATTGAATGAAAACACAGAGGAAAACGCCATCCCAAATCTGCACATAATAGATGCTCAATAAAGCTGGAGCTCTCCAAGGAGTAGAGAGGGGTGGCCACTGAAGACATTGTGGCTTATGCCTGTGATCCCAGCTACTCAGGAGGCTGAGATCTGAGGATCGTGGTTCAAAGCCAGCCTTGGCAGGGGAAAACACACACACACACACACACACACACACACACAACTGTGAATCAGCAAAAAGCTGGAAGCAGAGCTGTGGCTCAAGTGGTAGACCACCAGCCTGGAGCAAAAGGAAACTGGGGGACAGCACCCAGGCCTGAGTTCAAGCCCTAGGAGCCACACAACAC